ACAGTACACAGATAAAATAAAAGAGAGCCCCCATCCCAGAGAGTTTTCGGTGTCAAAGGACAAGGCAGGTAGAGGCTGGAGGAAGGCAAGTATTATGCAGAGGGGCACTTGAGACTGTGCAGGATGAAATAGCTTGCCTGAAATCCTTTAGGGTTTTTGAGCCACAGTCCCGGCCCCTGCAGACCCAGCTTCCTTTTCTGGCAGGAACATTTTAGGTGCTCAGGCTGTGCGCTCCCAGGTTGGAGCAGGTGGAACTAGAGCATGGATCCCCCCCAAATTTGGGTGCGTCTTCCTCATGTGGCTGCGTGTGAGTGGGACCCTTGTTGCAGGGTAGATCAGTTCCTAGTGGAATTGAGCTGCTCTTGGCTTCTCTGAGCTGGGAGTATGGTATCTGATTTCCTTGGGATATCTCAGGGCTGGAAACACTCCCAGTGAGCAGCTCATGATGGTGCAGGGGACCAGAGGTATCTTGCAGGTGTCTGGCATATACCCTGCAAAGTGCTTTTTGCCTTGGGCTCTCAGCTGGTTGGCAGACTTACGCTTATGGGGAGGGCTTTGTTTAATAGCAAAGTGAATTGGGGTGGAACAGAGGTATCTTGGACTGAAGCAGTGTTATCAGGTTTTAAGAGCAGATGACTCTGGTTCAGGACCTTTGGGTCCCATTTTTCACTCTTGCACAGGGACAGAGGATGAGAAGGAGAGGGGCCATTTCCAGGACTCCTCGGTTCTACACCCAGGTGTGCCCCTGCTCTGTCACTTCCCTCCTCTGGGCCACCTCTTCTCCGTCCTCGGACTGGAGATCATCTCTAGCAGACCGGGGTGCTGTGAAGCCTAAGTAGATAATGCATATAAAGGGCTTGACCATGGGTGTGAGGCAGTCTCTGTTCCCCTGGTTCCCTGGACACACTGATGCTGGAACGAACTTGGAGTCTGGCTTCATTGCTTTTCTCTTCCTGATGGTGCACAGGAAATCCCTTCCGTAGTGGAAGTAGCCTCTGTTGCCTCTGGGCTTGCAGCGTCCCTGCTCCCCCTTCCCTTCAGCTTGGTGTAATGGTATTGGAGAAATGTCCTATGTTCTAAGGGGGGCAGCGAAGGTGGAGTTGGACTTCCACAGACTCCTGCGCAGAGGCACTGTTGACCCCTGGGGACAGAGACCAGAAGGGACTGCTGGATCATTTCACCTGAGGTCTGTCCCAGTAATCCCTGTGCTGAGGCATCTCAGCACTTGGCCTTTCCAGAAATACCCCTCCAGCCTTGACTTGAGGACTTTGGTCGATGGAGGAGCCTCCAGCATCCTCGGACAGGTTGCCCCATGAGCTTATCAGTCTTTAGTGCTGTCTTGCTGATTTGGCATGCCCAGGCTTTAAGTATGAGCCTTTGGGTCCTGTTACACCTGGAATTTGTCCTGCTCTGAAGGGAGTCCCACACCATAAGCCAGGGTAGGTAGCGATGGAAAGGTGTGGCAGAGACCCTTGTGGAATAAGTGGTGAAGGTTGAGTGTGACAAGGCGCACAGCAGAGGGGCAGAGCCCTGGATGCCGACCCCTCTGCGCATCTGTTAGTGGCGTCGGTGGCAAGGATTTTTCCCTGCCACGGTCCAGGGGCGCTGGTGGTGCTGGGGTCACAAAGAGAGATTCTGTGTCCAGCAGATTTCACGTGTGTACAGTTGCTCTGGGCACATTTTGCAAATCCTCTCCCTCTTTTTCTTCACTCTCACACACACACACACACACACACACACACACACACACACACACACACACACAGAGTCAAGCAACACTGGCAATCCTCTCCCTCTTTTTCTTCACACACACACACACACACACACACACACACACACACACACACACACACACACACACACACACACACACACACACACACACAGTCAAGCAACACTGGCATTGCTCCAGGAACCTGCCAGCTCAGGAAACGTGCTATGAAAACAACCCCCCCCAGCCACTAACCAGAGCTGCCAGCAAAGGGACCCCCAGGGACGGGCACTGGATGGGCCCCTTAATGGATGTTGTAACGAGCATGTGAGGCCCGTGTCCCAACTCTGAATGCTCCTGTCCCCTCCCCTGCACCACCCCCATTAATGCTGTGGGGGGAATGGCAAGAAAAAGCAGGGCCAGACAAGTTTGGCTTCTGCCTTCTGTCATCACATTAACTCTTCTGCGTGATGATTCCTCCTTCCCACCTCAGGCTTTCCACCCTCCACTTCCTTCTCGCTCTGTCACTTGACAGTTGCAGGGAGCCAGAATTACCCCAGGATGCTTTGTTAACTTCAGATCAAGCTGCCGCAGGGCCCGAATGGCCTTGCAATACCGTGGGGTTAGATTCTGCGAAGGGCCAGTGGCCTAGCATTGACGTGCTCCTGGGTCACTCGTCATTTCACTAATTTCTATGAAACGCTCATGACTGGGCGCAATCCAGAGGCCCTTTGTACCTTGGTGGTTGAAATGGAAGTGGGGCAAAGGATGGATCATCTTCAAAGATGGTGGCAGTAAGCAGCGGCCTTGCCAGGGCATGGTGCATTTGTAACTGATATCACCCAGAGCGTGGCTGGCAGCATTCAGGAGGCAGGGGGAGAGGGCTAGGGCTAGGATGCAGTTGCTTGTCCCATCTCCTCAGCTCAGTGGGATCAGAGAAGGCCACTGGCCGTGTCTCTCCTTTTCCCTGCATACTCCCAGTACAGGAGGCTCCGGGGGCTTGTTTCAGGGTCATTAGAAAGGAGTTGCACTCAGTGTGTTTGCATTTCCAGGGGTCTCTGGGTGGCCAGATGCCCCTGTGCAAAGTGTGAGCAGGCCCGTCAGCCACTGTGACACCGTCACGAGCCCAGCTGGGCTGAGGGCGAAGGCCCTCGTCTGTGTGTTTGGGGCTTCGCAGTAACGAGGCCCTGTAAATATTGTGCCTGTAATCTAGGAAAGGGGACAGCTCCCTGCATCCACATGTGCCCTTGGCTGGGGCACCAGCACCTGTAAGGCAGCCTGTGGAGCAACCCTGTCATCCCGGGGGGAAGAGGGAGTCCCTGCAGGTCCTGCCAGCAAAAGTACAGTGTGTTGCAACATGTTTGTACATGTTTGCTCTGCTCCTCGGTGATCCAGGGGTCTGGCTGGTTCATGGAGACCCCCCAGCCCCATCCTGTGGGAAAAGCACTGGGTTCTCCTGCATGGACGGACGAAAGACCCGAGTTCTAATCCTGCCTCTCACAGATTTACGATGTGATCTTAGACCTGGATCTGCCATAGTCCGGGCTTCAGGTTCCCCATCTCAAAAGCCGGGAGGATGATATTGATCTTGCCGCGGGGGCTTGTGAATAAGGAGGGGGGAAGATGCAGAGAGAGATGGATCCAGTTGTGCCAAGGGGATGAGTTGTGGCACCTGGATCCAGCCTGTGACCCTGCCTGTGCTGTGGGGACAGGGAAGCCCGATGTTTGTATGTACATTCCCAGTGCTCCATTCCTCTTCCTACTAAAACTGAACCCCTGGATTCAACTGAACAGTTAAAATGAAAATGGAGGTAACTGAGGTGCTTATGGTTAAAGAAAGGGTCTGGGGGTGCCCAGCAGTGTAGCAGAACTACCCCCAAGGGTGAGTCAGCTATAAATGCCGCATCGGGGTGATAAACCCAGCCCGTGCCTGCTCCGGGGTACAGCTAGAGCTGATCGCGCTGCAGTGGTGTTGGGGTCAGGCTCAGGCCCTCAGTGCTGGGTCAGTTGAGATTGGGGGTCTGGTCCTGTCTCTGGGCATGAGCGACTGGTGCCTCCTGCGACGGGGGTACCATGGCGGTGAGTGGGGACTGCCTGCAGCCGC